GGATTTAGTAGTAAATTCTTAATCTCTAAAGAGCTTATTAATATAAATATCTATATTTTTAAAGGAAATTTAGAGTAGTATCTAAATTACTTTAAAAAGCTTATTAATAACTTAGAAGCTAAAGATCTTTCTTTATCTAATAAATATATTATAGCTTTATTACCAAATGATTTATCTAAAGAATATAATTATTTAGTTACTTTTATAACGTAAAGCATTAGATTAGATAGTTTTAATCTAATATTAGAAAATGTTATATCTAATTTATTAGATAAATATTATTAAAAAGGTACTATTAAAAGTACTAATAATATATTTAATACTTATAATAATAGTATTAATAATAGACTTAGTTATTCTTTTAAAGAAACTAGATCTAATATTTTTAAAGATTAAGACGGTGACATTAAAATAGCTTTAATAATGAAAAATAATTTAAAAAATTATAAAAGTACTAAAAGTAATGCTAAAATTTGTTCTTATTATAATAAATCTAGCTATTTTTAAGAATCTTGTTTTCTATTACACCTGCATTTAAAAATAAAAATTATTACTATTAATAACACTACTACTAGTAATAAAAATAAAGAGGTTATTTTAACTACTCAAGTAGATAATAATTATTATATAGATTCTAATATTTAATTTATATTAGATAGTAGAGCTACTATCTATACTTACTATAATAAGGAACTATTTAGTAGTTTAAAACTATTAGATACTTATATTAAATAGTGAAATACTAATAAGAATATATTAGCTAGTAGTAAAGGCTCTATTAATATTATATTTACCTACTCTAATAAAGTAGTTAAGCTAAATAAAGTTTTATTTATACCTAAATTAGGTGTAAATCTACTAAGTTTAAATTTCATAACTAAAAAGGGTTTTAATCTATCTTTTAATAAAGATAATAGCTATGTTTATAATAGTATTTATAAGCTAATAGCTAAAGGTAGCTTTATAAATATAATTAGTACTTTTTATATAAAATATTATAAAAATACTTTTTAATTCTAAAATAACTCTAAATACTCTAGAAAATAATCTAAAAAATAATCTAGATAATATAGAGTATAATATTAATAATTAAGGAATAATAGATAATAATACTAATAATTTAAATCTACTATAAAATAGATTTAGATATATTAATATTATAGCTATTAGGTACTTAGAAGAAAATAGAATAGGTGCTATTATTAATATTAAAGATATAATTTCATCTAAAACTAGCTTAGATAATTATATTATTTATATATAGTCTAAGCTAACTAAAAATAGAAGTACTATACCTTCTACTAAAGTTTTTAGTTATTTAGATTTAATATATATATTAATATAGGTAGATCTATAATATCTAAAACGTTTAGAGAAGCTGAATACTATATTACATTTAGAGATAGTTTTACTAAATACTTATTTTTAAAACTATCAAAATCTTGAAAAAACATAGTTAATATTCTTTCTAAAACCATTAATAAACTAGAACTTAAAGCTAGTAATAGTTTAGATAATAATAGTCCGTTTTATAATAATAAAGTTCAAGCTCTTTAATTAGATAATAAATTCAGATCTAAAGAGCTACTTGATTATTTAGAGTATAAAGGTATTACACCTAGATTTTCTGGTTCTTATACACCTAAATAAAATAGAGTAGTAGAATTAATTTATTAAGTTCTAATTAAAAAAGTATAAGCTTTATCATTCAACTCCAACTTACCTAAGTTTTTATAGATAAAGCTATTTTAACTACTTATTATGTATATAATAGAACATCTAATAGATCTATTAGATTTAAAACCCCTTACTATTTAACATACTCAACTAAACCTAATATGATAAATATTAAAATATTTAGTAGCCTAGCTTTTAATAAAAACCCTAATATTATAAATAAATAACTTATTAAAAGAGCTTCTACTTTTTACCTAGTTAGTTTTAAGAGTAATAATATCTATAAACTTTATAACCCTATTAATAATAGAGTAATAAACTCTAGAGACTGTAAAATAATTAAAGGTTATTATGTTCAACTAAATAATTATTAAGCTATTAATAAAATTTACTCTAAAGCTAATAATAAGCTAGAGAATAACTTAAATAACTTGGAAGTAGATAATTCTAAAGATAAACTAAATAAAAAAACTGATTCTAACACATAAGTATTTAAGAAAGTTAAAAGAAGCTTAAGAAATAAATAAGTAGAAAATGATAGTTTAGATTAACTAGGATTAAATACTATTATAATAGAGAATAATAATAGCTATAAAAAAACTCATAGCTATATAAACTTTATTATAAATTCTAACCTAGACTATAAAGGCTTATATAACAACTCTATATTATAAACTATTCTAAATATATCTATAAATAATAGCTTAATACAACCTAATAGTCTTAAAAAGGTTTTAGATAGAAAAGATAAAGATTTTTATCTAGAAGCTATAAAAATAGAAGTAGACGATTCAATTAAATCTAATACTTAGGATTTAATTATTGAACTATGTATTAATAATAAGATTATTAAAGGTAGATAGGTTTTATATAAGAAGCTAAATCTANTACTATATTACATTTAGAGATAGTTTTACTAAATANTTAGTAGTAAAACTATTAAAATCTAGGAAAGATATAGTTAATAGTATATCTAAAATTATTAATAAACTAGAACTGAAAGCTAGTAATAGTTTAGATAATAATAGCATGTTTAATAATAATAAAATTAAAGCTCTTTTATTAGATAATAAATTTTAATCTAAAGAGCTACTAATTTATTTAAAAAATAAAGGTATTAAAACGAGATTTTCTAGTCCTTATAGACCTGAAGATAATAGAGTAGTAGATATAATTAATAGAGTCTTAATTAATAAAATAAGAGCTTTATAATTTAACTCTAATTTATCTATATCTTTATAAAGTAAACCTATTTTAACTACCTATTATTTATATAATAGAATACTAATAGTTCTATTAGATTCAAAACCCTATACTATTTTAAATACTAGACTAAACTAAATATTAGAAATATTAGAATATTTAGTAGTCTTACTTTTAATAAGAATTCTAAAATGTTTAAAAATAAATAAGATAAAAGGGTATCAACTTTTTACTTAGTAGAATTTAAATATGATAATACCTATAAACTTTATAATCTTATTAATAATAGAGTAATTAACTCTAGAGATAATAAGATAATTAAAGGCTATAATTTTAAACCTGATAATTATTAAACTATTCATAAAATTTACTTTAAAGTTAATAATAAGTTAGATAATAACTTAAATAGCTTATAAGTAGATAATTCTAAAGATAAACTAAATTAAGAAACTACTTCTAATAAATAAGTTATTAAGAAAGTTAAAAGAAGGTTAAGAAATAAATAAGAAGATAATTATAGTTTAAATAAACTAGAATTAAATATTATTATAATAGAAGAAAATAATAGTTATAGAAAAATGAATAGCTATATAAACTCTATTATAAATTCTAAGCTAGACTATAAAAGCTTATATAATAACTCTATATTACAAACTATTCTAAATATATCTATAAATAATAGCTTAATAGAACCTAAAAGTTTAAAAAAGTTTTAACTAGAAAAGATAAAGATCTTTATCTAGAAGCTATAAAAATAAAAGTAGACAATTTAATTAAATCTAATACTTAGGATTTAATTATTAAACTATCTATTAATAATAAGATTATTAAAAGTAGATAGATTTTGAATAAGAAGCTAAATAAAGATAATACTATTAAAAAATATAAAGCTAAATAGATAGCTAAAGATTTCTTATAAGAATATAAAATTTATTATAATAAGACTATAACTTCTACTAGAAAATCTAGTATTATTAGATTATTATTAGCTATATTTAACTATTTAGATTAGGAAATTTATACTTAGGATAAGCTTTTCCTATAATAGAATTAGATAATAATNAATATATAAAAAATATAATAGCTGCTAAAGACTATATAAGTATAGTTTTAAGCTTTATAAAGTACTTTATAAGCTTAAATTAGCATCTTAGTAGTAGTAGTTATTTTCAGCTAAAATACTAAAATAGCTAGATTTTATAGCTTTAAAAATTAATAAAAGTATTTATATCTATAAATATAAATCTATTATTTAAGCTATATATATATATAATATCCTAGTTTTTCCTAAAAATAGAGATTATATTAATAGTCTTTATAAAGAATTTTCTAAAATAGCTAAGATTAAAAGAAATAAACTAGGAGAAATTTAAGAATTTCTAGGTGTTAAAACTATTAGAGATAGAACTAAAAAATCTATAATTGTAATAAAAAGAAGGTTAATTAGTAAACTATTATTTAAGTTTAATAAACTTTAAAAAAAAACTATACTAATACTAATAAGTATAAAACTTTGAAAAAACTAAGAAGAAAATAACTCTAGCTTAATAAAGGATTATTAAAAAGAAATTAGTTTTTTAATTTATTTAACTATTTTTACTAGGCCTAATCTAGTTTTTAGTGTTAATTATCTAGCTAGATATATGTCTAATCTAAGCCTAGATTATTATAAATATCTAAATAATATATTTAGCTCTTAATTAACTACTAAAGATTATAGCTTAGATTCAACTCTATAATCTAAATTATAAACTAATATTAGAAAAACTATTAATTTAAGAGGAATTAGTGATTCTAATTAGGGGGGTGATCTAGATACTAGAAAATTAACTACTAGAAATAGTTTTATTTTAGAAAATAACTTAAATAGCTAGGATAATAAAAATATAGCTATTAGTTAGATTTCTAAACTATAGAAGGTAGTTATAATTTCAAGTGATAAAGCATAATATATAGCTTTAAAAAAAGCTGCTAAAGCGAGTATATATTTAAATAATTTTATAAAAGCATTATTTAGCTATAACTCTATTAAAAATTTAAAAGAAATTCTTAATATTATAAATATTATATTAATAGAGGGCTAATGTACTATTGAACTAGCTTAAAATCTACCTTATTATGCTAGAATAAGAAACGTAGATATTACCTATTACTTTATGAGGGATAATCTAATAGAAAATATTTTTAACTTAGTATACGAAAATACTATGATAATATTAGCTAATAATTTAACTAGTACTACTAATATTAATAAGTTTAAAGACTTTATTAGTAGAGTAAATGTAGTTAATTTAGATAGATAAGTTATTTAACTTAATTTATTCGTACTTAGGTTTCTAACCACTAAGTGCGTTAAGTATTATTTTTAATAAATAATATATCTTGAGTTCTATCATTTAATAGCTTTTAAGAGCTATATAATAGAAATTAACTGTATTCTATATATAATAGAATATCTAATAGTAAATACTTTACTTAAAAAATTTTTAGTTATAGAGTACTAAGCCATAACTTATAGAAAAAGTAAAAGTATTAATTGATTTGAATTTATAGATTTAAGTATAATTTATTAATACAATAAAAGTTATGGAAATAAAAACAAAAAGAGAAATATCATGACTTTAGCTTATAAAAAACTAAGGATACTATATAAATTAAGGGGCAGTGTAAGTTTAATGACTTAATTTATATATTATCTTATTTTCTAGTTATAATTATTATAATAGTACTATTGAATAATGTATTAAAATTCTAAATAAACTAAGGATTATAAATTAGTTTTAAGATATTTACTAGTCTAAGTTTTAAGCTAGATGTTAACTGCTGACTATTTCTTTATATCTAATTCTAAATTAACGATCTAATTTCCAATCTTTTAATCCACATTATATTAACGTGGTTCACAAGCGAGCTGATCACCCAAGCGAGCTGATCACTTCCCACCAGCGCGTCAACGTCGATACTACAACGCGTCATGTCTCAACAACGTCAACATCTATTAACTTATCCTGAATCAGATCTTCAACTTGCTCTTTTTGATATCCGATCGCAACGTGT